CGTCCGTTCTCCCCCCCCCAAACCCCCCCCCCATCTGAGTCGGTTGTCGCAAACGTCGTTATTGAATTTGCCGGAAAATGTGCTTTCTGTGCATGCGTATTACTGCCACGTGGAAATATGGCCGCTTTGCCATCAAATTCATCTCTAGGATTACTTTCAAATTACAGGACAATTAATTATATAAAGTCATAAAGAGACAGGTTCGTCGTTTTGGATTGTAATGCCATTGATATTGGGCATGGAGATATCCACTTTTTTACAATTATGCGAAAGGCTGGCGGCAGCCAGCAATTATCGCCTGGAAAATTTCAGTGATATTCTGTCCAAAGCAACACATACCAGGGTTTTTTTTGTAGCGAAAAAAAAAAGGGTCGACAGGGCGTCGAGGTATTTGGTGGGCTGTAGGTCGGTCAGGCCACCCAACAGTTTGGCTGCTTCATGTTGAAGTAGACCAAATGGCATGGACCGAAATGACCTTTTATAGAATTGGTAGTATTAAGCATATCTTTGCATCATTTTTTAACATTTCTGTGTAGTGTTCATAATGCTTTAATATTCTGAGAGTACAAATAAATACATGTTGTTTGTTTGATATTTGTTTCATTGATTGTTATACCAAAAAAATGCATGAAATAACCTTAAATAGATTGGGTAATATGCAGCATGTCTGTCAGGCCCGTAGCCAGCAATTTCAAAAGGGGGGGGGGGGTTCTTTTTTTGAAAAAGTGGACCATTTTCCATAAAAACTTCATGTATCTAGTTCAAATTTTACCCAGAGTGGACCTTTTCCCAGCAAAAGGGGTGGTTCTTTCTAACCCCCTGGCTACGGGCCCGTCTATTCATGACTTTTTTTTACCTTTCTACGAAGTATTCACAATGCTTTAATATTTTGAGAGCATGGATAAAGACATATTGTTAGTTTGATACGTGTTTCTGTGGTAAATTTGTGTTTCCAGCTGTGTACTGACAGCATTCCTTTACTTATGCAGCAATTTTTTTTTGGACTGTTTTTTTTTTTCACCCTCTCGCACCGATTTCGGGGTCCCCAGAGGATGTCATCCATAAAAATAAAAAAGTGTGGCCTAATAGAACTTTTTTTTAGAAATATAAAATGATTGAGGTTCTATGGAACCATTTATGGAATTTGGAGAGAATTTTTAGAAGACTTGTGAACCATAAGATAAAATTTTTAGAAGACTTATGAACCTTAACTTGGTTTCGGTGTTTTGTTCCAGTATTGAAACAATTGTGATTACATTGCCATATTTTAGAAGGAAATCTCAATACCAAGTACTTCTATTGTAGGGTTTTATTGTTAATGAGATCTTGGTGGCAATATAGTTTAACCTTGAAGTCTGTTGTTTCCCCCAGGAAACTATGCCATGTAATTCCATTTCAATTTTCACCACTTAACTGCACCATTTTACAAGCACAAATCATGCGTTAGCACGCTTATTTTGCATTTCCCGGTATGTACTCAGATTGTTCACTTAAGACCAAAATTGCCATGTCAAGGACCCATTCCCTATGAAATTATCATTCTTCCTAACACGCCTCCACCTGCTGTTGAGTAGAATACAGAAAAGCTGGTGATTCTACAAGTACATTGGAAAAAAGAGGCGGCGTGTTTATCTGATTCTGTTCAGGGAGAATCCCCGTAGATTTTGATATATACACGTAGAACAAGTTTCCTGGGGTAGCGCTAGCAATTTTTTTCGCTTAGCCAAATCACCGTTTTTTGTCAATTTGTTATCCAAATGGTTTTAATTTGACTAAAATGAGTCAAATCAAGCCCTTATTGTTTATCCAAGTTAAGCCATTTTTAGCATTTGGCTAAATATTGGCGAGTGTTAGCGCTACCCCAGGTTTCACTGGGAATGGACCTTAATTCCTACAGGAACCGAAGTCCGTAGGATCACCATTACATGAAAATAATATTATTACTACCAGACTTTTATACCTGCCACACCCATGTATCTATGTCCATCCATTATGAAGTCTTATCAGATGTACGTTGTGAGTTTTAGTGACAGGCTGACAGCTGTAGACTCACTCAGTGACAAGGGCATAGTAATTAAAGGGAGATATTTCAATATTATATCAATTTGAGGACTCGCAACTCAGAATGACTATCAATATACCCATGAAAAATTCCGACTGGTTTCTGGAAGTCAGTCGAAGATCTGTGTCTGCTTACACTGAGAAGAGGCAATGGACTTTTCTAGCTGTGACACTGAATGATATGATCAAATTTAATCCATCCAGCTCATTACCTATAGCTTGTGAAGGGTCTCAGGGTGAGACCACAACATTGGTTCTTGATTCTATTCTGCTGCATGATTAAAAACTCCACTTTTAACTTTTTGTACCACAAGGGTTGTAACACTAAGACAATTTCCATAGGATTTGCTATTCAAATCTACAGTAACCATGAAGGTGCACCTTCTTTAAAGGCAACATTTTAAAACTAATAATTTGACGATTCTGTGTATACAGCACTGAGCAGGGGTGGGGTATTCTGATATTTTAAATTTTTTTTCCATATTGAAACAATGTGCATAACAGTGGAAAAAATCAAGAAAAAATGTATCACAGATTTGAATTTCATTTCAAAATGAATTCTTTGCTTGATCATACATTGTTATGATTTTGAAAGATTAAGTACAATAAATTAAGTCCTGGTCCTGTGAGACATCAGGGTCTAGACATCAATGGCTATTAGAAACTAAACAGAATTTTACTGTCACAGCTTCAATTTTTTCCTGGCATCTGGCTTGGGTCCAGTCCACTGCAAACTGTCACTGTTTTACTGATCCACTGAGAGTCACTGTTTATAGTTGAAAAAAAAATTGAATTGTCATCATTATACCCCTACTAAGTCACCAGGGATATATGCAGTCATATTATGTGCAGCAGAATGACACCCAAAAGCTGGTTGTGACATATTCCATACACTAAAACATTTTAAAATAATTTAATTGGCAAATCAATAGCAGAAATTTCACTCATCTGCACTAAAATGACAGATAAAAGTCATTCAGGTCTCCCAATTTTCTACTCTCTCCTCTACTGGAATAACACCCCAGTTTGGTGACTGCTGATCTGTGACTAGCCAATTGAAATCATCAACATCATCCCAATTATTGATGCTCTTATCTAAACCAGACACTCTGTAATGCTCGTCAATGCCATTATAGTTCCAATTATAAGGAGCAAAAACGACCCTGGAACAATCTTCAATGATGGCTTTGCTAGTAACATGTATGTAGAAGCTAGTATCAGTGGTGGAGTGGATACGGAGCTGTTGACATGGCAACACAAATGTGCAGTTGGTGCAATTATCAATGAAGATGGATGCCGATACAGGGCCACTGAAAACCTTACAGTTAGTAAGTTTATCAATGTGGATAGCACTTGGTGAGCCATGTAGTTTGACGACACAATCTGTCAGTCTCATGATGGCAACATCCTTCTGATTTATTGAATTTTCTCCAAGAGACAACGATTGATCACTAAGGTCCATAAACCCACAGTCATTTGCCTGTACACTAACTTTACTTGTGATGGTGGAATCGACAGCATCGCCATTCTGGGTGCCCTTCTTCTCAATTTTCTCTGATTTTTTCTTGGATTTGAAAGCGAATTTTTTCTTTGGGATTTTTTCGTCACGTTTCTCATTGATCGCGTCTGTCAGCCGGTTGACAACATCTTGCGATGATCTGATTTCATACTTTGGTAAAAATAATGTGGAGTCAGACACAAACTTCTGCAAGGATTGAACTGCAACCACTAGGGCATCAAAGTGATCAGTCAATTCTGATTTACCGGTGATATCATCACTTCTCATTAGATCAGCTTCTATTTTGGCTTTCGCGGCGTTGAAATTTTCGTTGAAAAACACAGTGTTTTCCGTGTCAGACGTTATCTTTTCCTTGTCTTCCTTCTTTTTTTGGAGATCCTGAAGACGTTCTTCATCTCTGCGTTGCAGTCTGTCTGTAACCAAATTTCTTTTCTCGTTTAGATCGGCGAAATTTTGCCCCACGTCTTCAACGGCTATTTCGCAAGCCATGTTTGACTTGACAACAGGAAGTTACTGATGCACATGCTCTGAACAGGAATAGTTAGCAAATATGAACATAGGCGGCGGGATTATCCAATAGGTGACACTAAGGTACTCCGTTTTACCCGAACATTTGATGATATTTGTTTTTTTCTCCAAAATAGCTAATGCTGAACGTTGTTGTCAACTAGACAAAATATTTCTTTAAATAATGGAATGGATAAGAAAACAGTCCTAGTGTCCTGACCAGATCTACTTAAATCATAAAATCGTACAATCCAATCGTGCTAGCAGGTACCTGCATTAGAGTTTATTTAGGATAACCTGCCTTTGGACAACCCTGGAAAGCTTATGAAGAGGTTAATTCAATGTCATGTTCCAAAGAGCTACAGCAAAGCAACATCATGACTTGTTGCCACGTGGTCGTCATATTTTTTCTGATGATATCCAGAAGTTTGGCTTCTCCCAATATTTTACTTTTCGTAGCAGACGACATGGGTTATGGCGATCTGTCTATTTATGGACACCCTACACAAGAGATGGGTCCCATTGATCAACTCGCCTTGCAAGGATTAAAGTTTACCAGTTGGTATGCAGCGCACACATTCTGCTCTCCGAGTAGAGCCGCTATGCTCACTGGTGAGGGTGTTACTGTCACTGGAAAATTTGTTGAATTAATTAAATTAATTAACTTGAAATTTGTGTAAAAAGTTGCCTGAATCTGTAATTCCAAAATATAAGTTGAATTTTAAAACAAAAGGGGTAAAGCATTTTATCGATATTCAATTTAACCAATTAATGTCGAATTACAGGTATGATTGTGGCTTAGGATGAGATAATGAGTCGGAGTCGTGGTGTGTGAACTCGGCTGCCAGCCATCTTTCATGTTATTTCTTACTCATAATAACTCTTGACTGAGACAGTGGTGCAGTGATTTACTAGTACACTGAAGGCCATTGCAAAGCAACTACATGTACTTTGTATAACTGACTATACATTGTATAAGGGCTCACTTTCAAAACTTACATGTATTACCACACATTTATAGAATTTTGTAAGGGCTTTATTATTTTATTTTGTACAGGCCGTCTTCCAGTGAGGTACAATTTTGTTGGTGGCTACACTGTCCTGATACATAAACATTATCTTGGATTGCCCCTTGAAGAGTACACTATTGCTGAAGCCTTGAGAGACCAAGGTTATGCTACTGGTATTGTGGGGAAATGGCACCTAGGTGAGATATATTCAAATATGTTGTACATTGTTACATATTAGAAGAGAGAAACTGCTGGTAACATGAGTAATGTATGTATTTTAATTTATATTTAAATTTTTATGTGGGCTTCTGATTCTTGAATAATTTGCTGCTGGTACATCTTGATTACATCACATTACATCCGAGTCTGAAAAGTATGTTATATTTGACAGTGCAACCACAACTTCCATTTTGTAGTTTTATATTTAAGCCAGGTAGAATTGATCAAGTAGTAAATGAGAGTGACTGGCCTTAATTTTGAGGAAATCAGAACTTAATCCACATGTACATATTTTTTTCTTTTCAAATGGAAAAATATGCTTTGGGTATTGGTTTGGTAAATAGGAAAAGATTACACTTGAATCCTGAAAAAAACTGAAATTTGTTGCTTTTATGTGTTCAAATCACTCACACTTTGGATTTTGACATTTTCACCCTCTAAATTAAAACTGGAAAAAAGCTGCTATGCTCATTAAACATCCTATGTTTAAAAACAAAAACAATTTTTTTCAGCAACCCTAGGCCTGTTTACTGACTGCAGTATGTCACTGCTCCTTATTCAACTTATCAATGTTTTCTGGCCTTGAGGGACTACATGTATTATTTGGGGACAAAGGATTTACACAAAATGAAGAAAAAAAACTTCATGAAAAATTAGTGATATCTTCTTTAAAGTGCATAGTTGCTACATGTTGTACTTGCCTAGCATGAGTTCAGTTACAGACTTAAAAATATATATTGGAGCTCTCCACTGCCCTTATCATATCTCACCTTAAAGCAAACAAAAATCCCACCGTCCAAATTAATGTTAATCAGATAACTTCCAATCAGTGTTAGCTATGCATTTAATATTTATATGGAAATTTAAAAAAAATATATATGCTACTTATTTGTATTGATTGCCAGGCCCATAGCCAGTGGGGGTTCGAGGGGCTTGAAAGAATAGTCCTTTTTGTCAGGAAAAGGTCCATTCTGAGAAAAATTTTATATAGGTACATAAAGGTTCCATTGTAAAAGGTTCACTTTTTCAAAAAAAGAACCCCCCTTTTCAAATTGCTGGCTATGGGCCTGATTGCATTATCTATTATATGGCATGTCTGTTTATTTTTTCCATTTTATATGTCAAAGTTTAAAAATTATATACAGTACTGCATGTATTATTAGTGTTCTTTATTATATTTGGTTTACTTAAATGGCACTGTGGTGATAGGTGTGAATGCGCACACGGATACAGATGGAAGCTTCTTGCCTCATAATCAAGGGTTTTCCCATCCTGCCACCATACTGCCATATACACTGTTTTATGACTGTGACACAACAGGGGTGAGTTTATTTGAAAGCAGAAAAATTTTCTCAAGTTTTAGGTGGAATTTTATTTCAAGATTAAAAGAAAGTTAACAGTGTAATAAAGTGATAGAGGCCTTTTTTATGGAATGCTAAAGATAATGTTTTTTGTTGTGTTATATTCAAATTCACTGATCACTTTCAGCAAATCTCTCAATAGTTTGATGAAAAAATATTAAATAAATGATTAGATACACAAGCAGTGTGGTATGCTGTTGCTTGTAGAGTTTTTTTATTTTCAGTTTTCTACTATTACTATTACTGTGTACAATAGTTTAAGTCAAATGAAAAGAATTTATCATTCATTTACACCTACTAAATGTTACACTGTGTGATGTGTTAGATGTAACATCAGAGAATATAGAATCCTTGCATGTATATATAATACTTTCATTTTTCTGTTTTCATTATGCTTGATTTCACATTGTATTTTAATGCAACATTAAAAATGATAATTTTTGCCATTTTGGCATGGGCAGGCGCATGATACGTTGGCATACATGTACAGCTAATGTAAAGTAGTGAACTTTCACTTTCAGGTTCACCGTCACCAACAGAACCGAAACCGCTGCATGATCTACAGGAATAGTACTATTGTCCAGCAACCAATTAAGCAAGGAAAGTTGACTGCAACTCTTGTGGAAGATGCCAAAGCCTTCTTGTATGATCATAAAGATGAGCCATTTTTCTTCCTTTTCTCCTTCCCGCAGGTCCACACCCCTATGTTTAATGATGTGAGGTTTAATAAATCATCAAAAAGAGGTAATTCTTACCTACACATTTTGTGTTTTGCATTTTCCTACAACAGCAAACTGTGCTAAAGATAAATATTGTTGGATATATTGCCAGATTAAGCATTCATGATTTCATTTAAAAGCAATCTTCTGGAATTTTTTTTTTTTTTGTTCTCAAATATCCTGCAATGTGCTACTGTTTCATTACCTGTTCTCAGTACCTACCTGTTATGAGATTTTGAAGTTTCACATGTGAGGAACCGACTTAGAATTTGAGTTGCATTGGACCACAATGGGATTTCCGATTTTGATTATGTGATAGCATGGCTTATAGTTACTTGGGCTATTAAAAAGGAAATGACACTTGTTTTTGCAAAGAACCATTTTATTTATGTTTAACAAGTATGCCAAAATGATATGAGTGAAATAAGCCTGTATATATTTATTCAGGTGAATATGGTGACCAAATCAACGAGATGAGCTGGGCAGTTGGAGAAGTTATGGCAACTTTGTCCACCCTGGCACTGGATGAGAAGACTTTGGTCATATTTTTGTCTGACCATGGCCCTCATCGGGAAATTTGCAAGGAAGGAGGCAGCTCTGGCATTTTTAAAGGTAAAGTGCTTATGTTGTTATTTTTCTTTAAAAAGTGGCACCTCTAAGTAGTGGGGAAGGTGATGATTGCTATAGCTGTTAATGTTTATTTAAAATTATTTAAGAATGTTTATTTACTTTATTAGTTCTTTACTTAACAAATCAGTATTGGTTCTTTACGTAACAAATCAGTTGAAGTTTTTTTATCACATAGTTAAGTAACTATCCTATTCCACAATTCTTCTTGATATTTATGCAGCAAGACTTGGTTAAAGTTAACATCCTTGGTTTTCAAAATTTACAGATTTTAAAAGAAGTGAGATCCTGATATGATATACATTATAGAACAGCTGTTGTGAATATATTTACAGAAGTAGTTTGGAATTGGTTTTCATTTTTATTATAAATTCTATTATTTTGTTTATTTGTAGGTGGGAAAGGCAACTTCTATGAGGGTGGTGTCCGTGTTCCAGCCATAATGAGATGGACGGGGGTCATCCCTCCAGGCCGCGTGTCCAGTCAAGTGGTCAGCAGTATGGACCTGTTACCATCTCTGGTCAGCCTTGTGGGAGGACAGCTGCCAAATGTACACCTAGATGGAGAAAATATGTTGGATAAGATATTTGGGAAATTGGAATTAACAGACGTTAATTCTGGACATTTTCATAAAAAAGACCATGATGCTTTGAAAAGAGACAGGGCACTGTTTTTCTACTGTGATAACCATCTGATGGCAATACGCTACAAGTCATTTAAGGTGCACTTCAGGACGCACCCCCTTGCTTCAGAAGAATTCATTCTAAAAAACTGCCCCGTAGCTGGGGTACCTATAGACACAGAGCTTCACGTGGAGCACTATTGCAACAAGACAATACAGCAGGAGGTGCCACTGTTATTCAATGTGGAGGAAGACCCGGGGGAAATGTTTGCTCTTGACTGGGAGGATTATCAGGATATTTCAAATGAAATTCAAGATATACTCAGGAAGCATCAAGAGACGTTGCCTGAAGATTTAGATGGCCATGGTATAACATCCTTTGACAACACAGATATGTTTGTGCTTCCCTGTTGCAATAAACCATACTGTATTTGTGACTTCACTAGTGAGCCTCCATGTCCAGCTTCATGATGATTTGTTTACAGTGTGTTCATAAACATCCTTTCAGATAACATCATGTTAAAATTTTCTGTGATGTAATTTGTTTCTTTTGTCTTTTTACCTCTGTATTTTGTTCATCACAGTCTAATTCAAAATGTTATTTTTAGGATAGGCCAGAAATGGACTAACTTAAAAGTGTATAGATTTTGGTGGTGACCCATATTATCGGGATCTAAGAATTTAAAAAAGATATCTCCTCAAGGTGACAAAGCACCAATAGCCTTGTCTTTATGCAATGGATATGCTAGCAACTACAATACATGTGCCATAATTTATCAGTGCAAGTTTCTTGGTGGAGGTCTGGGCTCTCTGAGTGCTTTTTCTAGTCTTGGTTAAATGTTGGAACACACAAATATAAACACAAACACACACATACACACACACACATTGGAATAACACTGAAAGCATATCAAAATTTATATTTAAAGATATATTACATTAAAGATATATTACATAAAGATACATATAGAATATACAGAATTTGATTTTTACTTTTTGCTTGTAGGTTTCTCATTTTTAAATTAATATCTATGAATATCAGAAGTTCTATATTTAATACAATATATTGCTGGTTAAGTGATTTATTTTCTTATATCAGATTGAAGTCTCTTCCTTTGTGTGATCACTGTTATTTTTCTTAAATTATTTTTCTGTGAAGTAAGCTGGTGGCACAGATATTCTGTCAGAATAAACTTTTAAAAAGTTAATGATATGAAATAAAAAGGAATTTTTTAATATTTGTAGTGTAATTTTATTATATATTGAAGTTTGTGTTACAGGGGCATGTTTGAAGTATTGCTGATTCTATCTGCTATTATTGCTAGTCAATACCAACAGTAAGGATTAGATTGCTCTACATATTTTTACATAAACAGTCTCTAATAACTTTAATAAATTCAGGTCATGACACGACGACAAACGGGTGATATTCCACTCAAACTATATTTTCAACATTAAAAAAGTTTTACAAAAAATTTAAATTGGTAATAAATATATGACTGACTACTTTTTTGCTTTATATTTACTGTTCTTTAAAAAAGAAGTGCCTTTGAATAAATACTATTTCAGAGTTCCTGTAAATATTCCTTCCAACCCTCTCCCCACTTCCTCAAAGAGTTTATGCCCAACTCTAACACTGTCCGTGTACTAAAAAAAGCAGGAAAATATATTATAGTAAGAATAATGATATTAAAAAAATAAAATGAAACAAATTGGCAACGAAAATGTTACTTCTAAGCAAGTACATGATACAGCTGTTGTCAGTTTCACATTATTTCTGAGTAGTAAAAGTGGACCACAGAAAAGTAATGTAATACCAAAGAGTATTGCTAAATCTTATAGGTAGGTCTACGTATTTGTCGATCTGAAAAAAACACACACACACACACACACACACACACACACACACACGAGATTTATGGCAAAGTGATAGAATTTTGAATACATCATTTTTTCTTATTCAGTTTTATTACATTTTCAGGCCCGTAGCAAAAGGAGCCTTTTTTTTCTTTTTCTTTTTTTTTTTTTTTTTTGAAAAGCCGACCTTACGCGGCAAAAAAGACGGTTCTTTCGACACGCTCGAACCCTCCCCCTCCCTCGGTCTAATTTTTGGGGAAATTGCGACTTGTCCGATATTGTTCCCACATGTGCGAAATTCAAAAGTTTAAAAGCCTCGTGTTATATCGTATCGGTGAGTTTAAATGACAGTGTAAATTGAATAAATCTGCCAGGGATCATAGAGGCAAATAAAATTTCCCTACATGATCTCACGTGTTAATTAATTCTTTATCCCATTTTACCAAAAATACGCGTTAACGCTTGCCTCAAATTTTCTATGCTCTATAAAGAAAAACAAATCGATAAATAAAGTAACGAAGACGAATATTTAAAAAAATAATATATATCTGAAAACCGACGGCTAATTACGCGGTGACTACTGATCGCTTATGCCCCTATTTCACACAGACCACGAATCCCACGAATCGCCAGGAATTGAAAATTTCAGGATTCGTGGTTGAATCGTAATCAGTTCGTGAAGTTCTTAACAGATTCGTATATATTCGTAGTCAGTTCTTGCACTTCTTGAACAACAGGAATTAATGGCAAAAACTTTGATGCTCCTATTTCACACAGACCACGAATCCCACGAATCGCCAGGAATTGAAATGTTCATATCTTGTTTAAAGATATTACGCGTTGGGCCAGAAGATTTCTCGCCCGATTACCTGGAAAATGGAACTTCTTATTTTTCATTCACAGTCTGTCTTGGCATATACAATTTTTACGTACCATGCGTTGGAGTGATGATTTTCGGGACTGTAAGTAATTAAATGATTCCCTCTAATTCTAAGGACATAAAGATGGCATCCTCATTTTTCGTGTCTTAGAGAAAGAAACTTTGAAATGGAATAGCCAAAAATGACGGGCAAAGTTTTCAAGGACCAGAAGAATTCTTGTGCACGTGGTGAATAGGCTGACCACTGTATGGGCATTATTTCTAGCCCAAGAAAAGATATGTAAACGTGAGCAGCAGTCTTATTAGGAAATTCTTGAACTGAAGAAATTGTGATAGAAACCTTTTTAAGCCAAGAAAAAGATGCATGCATGTATAGGGGCCTACATGTGAGTGCCACTCTCTCTCTCTCTCTCTCTCTCTCTCTCTCATGATTTAGGGGCATTTGGGGAAGGGGTGGGGTCAATAATAATAATAATAATAATAATAATAATAATAATAATAATAATAATAATAATAATAACCTTTCTATTTCTAGGGATCTGATGAAACACATTCACAAATCTTTGGACTGAAGAAATGAAGATCATAAGTTATATCAAAGAAGTGGGAAGGGGGGGTGTAATGAATCTGTTCTTTCTAATTACAAGGACCAAAACAGGAATATTCTCCATTGCACAAAAGAGACCGAGCTTTTTGTATCTTTTTAGTCCAAAAAGATGCCTGTACGAGTATCATTCTCTCTCTCTCTTTCTGGTTATGTGTGTGTGTGTGTGTGTGTGTGTGTGCGCGCGTGTGTGTGGGCGGGGGGGGGGGGGGGGAGGATAATAGAATTATTCTTTCTATTTCTAGGTACATGTACATGATGCAGATGCAGCCTCATTCTCATTGTGACAGCGCTTTGTGGCAGAAAAGTTTACGTGATAAGAAAGGTTTGGGTGGTTGGTGTTTTGTGAATATTGCATGCATTTATTCTTTCTCCAAATACGAGAAGCAGAAACATCATCATTTCATTATACCAAAGAGAATAAGTTCTGCTGCCTGATCACCCTTGCATGTCAGATTTTGTTTTCCCAAAGAAACGTTGGTGTAGCTAGTGTGCAAAGTGTGCAATCGAAAGTGAAAGCAAAAAGTGAAATACTTTAGTTTTTGAAGTTTCCAGAAGGTAGCAGCACGAGACGGTACAAAAATCTTGTTAATCTAAGAAAAGCCACCTTCTATTAATTTATAAACAATCATTTCAAAAAGTAGATCACATACATTCAATTAACTGTTGTTTTGGCATATATTTTCGTTTCAATATACTCAATATCATATAATTAGCATGCAGTTTCGTAGCTCGTGTTGATTGTTTCACTATCACGTTGTAGGTCACAAAAAAGGAGGCAGATCGAAAATACCATGCCGCACATTGTAAGCTACAATTACACCAAGAAGGCGACCTGATGTACAGTAAGTGGCTGTCTATTAAATATTTGTGCTTTGCTCATCAATACTCAACACTCTTGTGGTCTATCCATTGCAGTTGTTTCTCTTGCCCGCAACTTGCGCAACCAAATGCCAGTGGCACGGTGTTTCAATCCGGCGTAACCTCCGTAAGAACTGAGAAACTGAAAAAGACTGAAGGCTGCTAAAGATGTTCGTTCTTTTATTGATTATAACGAATATTTATTATATCAAACAAAATTTTGGTAAATACCTTTACCGAGCACCTCGATCTCAACTACCAAATCAAAACGCGATATTTATCATATTTCCATGATTTTGCAAAAAAAAGGTACAAAAATCGAAATTAGAATATAATTTGTGTCCTCCTCTCTCCTTAAAGTTAAAACTACACCTGCAATACTAGGGGAATGTTTATATAAATGCATGTACAAGTTAAGTCATTATGCTGTCAGTTTTTTTTTCTGTTTAGATAAAGTTTTAGCAATGGTGTAGGATGTTTGCTTTTCAGTTTGTACTTACAACGGCCCAGAAATAAATCTGATATCAGTTTCATGCAGTTTTAGTTACAGTGTACACAACTTACCAGAACATGTAATTTGCAGATTTTGTGAACCAAAACATACCGAGAAAAATGTTTTTTTTTTCATTTGAAATCTTCAAAAAGTCCTAGCAAGCTAGCTGAACATTCCGCATGTGCTTCCAAATTTATCTTTATCTCCTCCAATGAGTTAATACTCACTGTTAATACTTATAAGCAGTTTGATAATTTTATAAATACATGATTTTGTCAATGAAACAAATGTCTTAAATACCCTAAAGCTGAAACTAGCTATGGCCCAGGTAATTGATTTCCGGCAAAAGATTAGTTTAATAACCTTGGGCATCTCTTGTATTGACTAGAATTCAACATAGAAAAGGCATAGACTTTTTTAGTGATGAATGTCTGCCTCTTCTTTGTGAGCACTGTTTTCTTTTGGTAAACATAGGTTTGTTAGACTGACTTTTAAGTCATTTGTAAATGAGTTTGCACACAAGAAAATTGCTGATACAAGGAAATTTGAGCATGAAATGTACAGCTGTGGGCTACACTATTGAAAGAGACAACATCAAAATGTTGCTTGCTATCTTTTGACTCTGCCAGTATTAATTTGGGCTTAAATTGGGTCACACCAGAAGATTTTGTCCAATGGACAATTTTCAGTCAGCTGATAATGTTGAAATGATTGAAATTATCATTCAGTGATGTAAAGTGCCTTTTAAGAATATTGTTTTAATTTTATTGTATTAATAGGCTATGCTTGATCAAAATAATTTAATCCTAAGCCCCCGCTTTAGTTTGGCACAAAATCATTATAACTCATAAGGTGACTGAGAAAGTCTGTATATAATTTTTATTTCTGACATAAATCCATTGCGTATTTGATAGTAATAATCAGCAGAATCGTTGGTAAGTGTTCCAAATCCAGAACTTTTAATGTTTAAAATTAGGATAAGGACCTGAATTCGGGTCATTACGCAATTTAGTTTTGAACACGCTCAAAACAAAAGCTAATTTTGCTGCATGAATTTGTACTGGTAAAACATTTCGAGTGGATTGACCATAATATTGGCAGATTAATTTACCCATTTAATCCCTTGGAACAAGTTTTTTCTGTTTGGAGAGTAAATTATAATGTACCTGTAGTATTACTGGTCTTTTCAGTTTATCATTACTGTAGTTTTAATCTTATAAATCAAAAGATATAAATTCACTTACATTGTGATTTGGATCAAAGTTCAATTTCATAGGTGAGGTCTAATCCAAAAAGTCTCACCTGTGCATTTATCTGCTCTTAGTTTTTGCTTGTTTATGCTTAAGTGAAAATGAGTGTACACTGGCATTGAGGCGTCTTAATTGCTATACCTGTTCCTGGCCTGTGCATTAGGAGTACATTAAACAGGACAGGTGTGTTGATGCTGCTGATTTATAATTAAAACAAGTCTCTAACTGGGATCTGATGTTAGAGTCTGTGTTAGCATATGTGATGTATTTTAGCGGGAAAATCTGTTGGTCGTTCCGAGAGAAGTGTATATTTACTCTGTCAACATTTTAATCAAATATTGCTTATTGTAGAGAATCCAAGAGCATGCCAGAAGAATGGATGGAGGGCCACGTCCGACAAAGGTGGAGTTTATTGAAATTAATCTCCCTTGAATAGGTCACAATAACTTGCACCAACATCCAGTCAGCGGGAAAATATAACTGTTGCAGTTTCATTCAAGCCAAGCTGACAGACCAGGTAGATTACAGAATATCCTTGCAGCTTGTTAAGAGGGGCTCGCCTACAATTCCTCAAAAATACTTACACTAAGGAAAGTATATGGATTTCATTAATTTCCACTGGATCTAGTGTATAAGCCGTTGATGCAGTAAAGCCACACAGGAGTATATTTTTCTGTGGTCAAATGGGATAAGTATGCCTGTTGAAGAGATGGTGCTGCTTTATTCAAAGGCTTGATATATATTCACAAGGTACAGCTTGCTTGTTCCAGAGTCACACCTCTGCCTACAGATGTTGAATCTTTATTAAACAGGGGAACTCAAGTTCAAGATTCACAGCTGGGATATTATAATTTTTGATGGCTGAATAATCTCTTACTGCTACTACAACTACTACTACCATCTATATCATGTCACGGACACCACATCGCTATGGAACAGTGAGTCCTGCTGGGTCCATGACCTCACTACCCTCAGGGTCTGGCAGAAGTACCCCCAGGGGGGTCAGCCCCAGCAGACTAGGGTCCCTCAGCCCAGCAGGGTCTTACAGCTCACTCCACCCCAGGGGGACCAGCCCAGTGCCCTTCCTGGGAGGATCTAGAGGCAGTAGCCCGGGACCCACGGGACATCATGGAGGGCTGTCCAATATACAGGCTACTATACAGCATCTGGCAGGTGAGCTAGCTTCTGTGTGTCTGCAATATATAATGGCATTTCACAGTGAAGAAGTTGCCCATTTTGTTCTCTCTCTCTCTCTCTCTCTCTCGTGGTGTGTGTGGTTTATTAACTGTCATGAGTTCATCAATTACAGCCAAGGCTTAAGGCACTTGATATGCAATGTTTTTGTAGAGATCTAGTTGTTCATTATTAAGCAGGCTTTAGTGAACAGCAGATGAGCCAGCCAGCCAGTAGACTCGTTATTCAATAATATGTCCATGCTGGGAATAAATGTCTGTCTGGGAATAAATAGAAAACGGTAATTAGATTTCAGACTAACAATAAATCCACAACTTGTCCACCACCTGACACCGGGGAATTAATTATTATTGAAAGCCCCACGCAGTGACAATTATGAGGATATGTAATGCAGAATCATGTATTTTGTTATTGACTTTTCCTGTCAACCTGAAAGAACAGTGAAATTACACTAAATTTATTTTGATGGGGCCATGTTGGATAGGGAGTTGAGCACCCCGTTTGTCAAAGGGATTGGATGATACAATACAGAATGGACCTAACAAATAAAATATTATCATAGTGTCAACCACTTATCTAATAACATGTCAAAAAAAAATGAAAAAAAGGAAAAATTCCATTCGTTTTGCACACAATATTAAATGTCAGTGCAAGTTAAAAGGTTCATGTAATATCTCTTGTATTATCAAGGTGGGCTTTTTCAGGGTGCATGTTGTACTGCACCCTGTAGATAACAGTAACCTATAGTACATCATCCCTGCTGCAATCTGTTATTGTGATCACTATACTCTCTGTGATCATCAGGGTGGGTATATTATAAATCAGTCACTCCAGTACCTCTTCCCTTGTGCAGTCTCTCAATGCTGTGAAGAAAGGGTCAAGTGGGGCTGAAATAAAGCAGTGGGCTATAAAACCCATGATATGATCTACATGTACACACTTGATCAGCCATAGTGAAGGGTTAAGGGTGGTGCTCTCACATAGGATGTGGCCAGGGTTATATTTCTATGATAATAATCATATTGTGGTTGACCTGTGTGAGATGTCAGCATGTGTGAGCAGATGTGAAGTCAAATTTTAACCTTTTAAAAATGAAATTAAAAGCTTAATAGAATGATAAATTTTAAAGGGAATTTATTGGAAATGACAAACAATTGAATTAAGATGTGCAGTTAAATATATTTAAGTGTTTTATTTTATTTATTTATTTTTTTTGCAATTCGAGGTCAAACAAAAATATATTTAGTTTTTATATGAATTAAATTAGGGATGATAGCTGGATCTGCATAGGAAGTCCAGCAAGAAAAAGTAGCTTGAGCAAATATATGCTCTGTCTGTTTGACATATGATGGGAAAAATGTTTTGACAGCTAGCATATCCTTGGCTACCTTGTACAGAACAACAGGTTTCACAAGGCAGGTTAAATAAATGTTGTAAATGACAGAGAACTTTGGTTTGTTTTATTTTCCAAAAGCATGGTGAAAATCTGTCACTTTGTCAATTTGAAAAATAGGGTAGATTTATGTTTTTCATGCTCAGTGGTCAGTTAAGACAAGAAACATTGACATTTAAGAACAAGTTGCTCATTTCTTGTTCATGACAGAGTTATTTTGTGATAGCTTGATGTAAAAGAAATAAAATTATTGGTGCCAAAATAAATATTAATTTTTTTAATCTTGCTTTTACCCTTTATGAATATTATACTTCAGGAAATGGGCAACATTGGGAAATGACATCAAGTGTGTTATACTGTATATGGAGTCCCTTAATAAGAGCACTTGGTTGTTAACTTTATATATAATATATAGGTATTCTAATTGATGAGAAGACAGGTATTCATGTTTTAAACAATTATAAAAAGATAACTCATTTTGTTTTGCTGAATTTTACAGTAAAAAATAAACGAGAAATAAGTGAGTAGTTTTCTTCTATTTGTACAATAGTTGTGATATGAGAAACTGTGAGGAACCCTTATCTCTCCTAACGGATCGCAATCTCGCAGAAGTTTACACTTTCTGGTATGAAACCCAATTACCCCATATGCTTGTCTGGAAGTTTGACTCTGAAGTTTGGCTACCTTGTGCACTTAGCCTCTATAGTTACTATCAACACAAGGTTGTCAAAGAGGTAAAATACAGCCACTTTGCTCCCTTATATCTGGTTATCAGATCACGTTAAAAAGTCGAGTTTGATGACCATGTCAATATTAGGCTAATTTGATACCATTGTCCAGTGATCAGGAGCAAATAAATTTAAGCTTGTGAGTTGGCGAGATTTGGGAAGAAGTTGCGATAAATGAAATAATGGTGGTACTTTCGCTATTGTACCGCTACCTTTTTCACCTGGACAAGTTTGCGAGCCCCGGGCCATATCAAACTTCAATATTTATATTTTATTTCCTGGCATTTTTTTTGATTGAATGGGAAGCAGTAGATATCTCAGACAGTTACTGGATGAAGTTTTATTTATTTTAGGGGTTGTTTTTAGCCACTTCAAGATAAGGTGCAGTTTACAGCAAAGTAAAGACTTAGCTAATTGTTTCTGAGGATTTAGTAAATTTAAATTCATTTGGATTTAGTTTGCATGTCTCTAAAAACTAAATTCCAATGTCATTAAGATAATCCTCTTTTCTTTTAATGGTTGGATTAATGGGGAAAACAACAGGTATACTGGTCTGAAAAAAAAAACAGGTGAATTTGATTTCTGTCATTTTCTGCCATTAATTGATAAACTTTGTTTTTTATTATTTTTTTACCCAGCCCATGAAAATCTCTCTCATGATTTTTTGCATAACAGTGTGGCATTTTGTTCTTCCGTTAAGATATCTTTTCTCTTATCAGTATCCTATGACTTATTCTTTGATTTTGCCAAAATTGAATTTTTATTTTAAGATATACTTGAAAGATAAGTCATATTGTTTATTTATATTATTTAAATATATCTCTCTCAGAAATATGCAGTTTTTCTTTAATTGATTCAAATTGGGCATGGCCAGAGGAAGTCATCCATTTGTTTTCCCTAAAGATAATATTTCATTGCTCATTACTAAGATTTATTTAAAGCATCACCAGACCTGCGTAGCTTCCCTTGGGATTCAAACTGGGAGGTGCTGCCACCTTTAGGGTTAAACTACAACTATTTACCTACATTATTCCAATTGAATCATGCATTTGTTGATTTATTTCATAGTAATCCTGATAAGAACTTGAGTAGCGTGATTAATGAATAAATAAGAGTTGATTGGTCCAAGGCATTCTTTCGCTGAGACGCAGGCTTTGCCATGTTCTTATCTTCTGCAGAAAGTAGAAACACCAGCCTTTCATCATTTTGGCAAAACCACAAAATGCGATCTATTTTTTTTAGGTGCAGGATTTTCAGAGTGTGTTGAGACTTGTATGGTGTGGGATAAGGCTATATTCAATCCTGATTAACCCCCCTGTGAGATATTTGATTTGAATTATACTGCAGTTGTTAGGAGGTTTGACTTCCATGAACTTTCGTGTCAGACGTGATCAAATTTTAATAAAGATTTAAATGTGCAGTCACACTCGTCTGACACGTTTGACATAAATCCAATAAACTCAAAACCGAATTTGACGTTAACAAACTTTTTAAAGCACAGGATTCATGAACTGGTTTAAGGAAATGTTGAAATTCTTTTGATTGGAAAGTGGGTGATGGGTTTAGCCACGATTACAATGTCTGTTCATATTGACAAGCTATATGATATCATATGATTTCATAACAAAGCTGGACTTCTAATGACCAGAGAAGTGGATACTTGATGCCCTAAAAGTTGTTTTAAAGATGAGCGTCATTTTTTGTAAATATGGAAAGTATTATACCTTGGCTGACACATGCTGTCCTTATCACATAAAAGGTGAGATTTAGAGATAGATACATGTACATAACATATCTATTATTCTAAGATATATATATATTTTTTTTCGATTAGTTTTTTATTTGACTGAAATAAAAAAAGGGGAAAAAACACTTTATTTTTTAAATTTAGATAAAAAACAGTTTGTTTAAAAGTTACATTAGAGAAAAATAATTCTAAAAATTTCTTTAGGAGTTGACTATCATGCTGAACACCTGTTCAAATAGATTCTCATTTTTACTATATTAAAAAAGTGATATCAAAACATATTGTCAAGAATTGTACCAAATGTCATTGTTTCCACATAGTTCAGAAACAATTATCAGAATAGGCACTTCATAACTGGATGCGAGGTTGATTCAGATAGATAGGATTTATCTGTTCAGTAATCGGTTTACTGTATTCCTGTGTATTTAACAAGATAATTAAATATGCACAGATAGTTGGATAAGTTTGGAATGATCCCTGTTACCTGATGTTTATTGAACATTAGCCATTAGGTTGAGACAAGATAATATATATTATAGTAATTACTGCAAGCTTGACCATATACATTTATTTTTCGTCTGAGCTGCAAGGAAGTACTTTGATATATTTATATTTAAATTGTCTTCCTGTTGAAATTACCTGTGGTTGACTTAGTTGTTGGTAAATATTATGCACCAATGTTGATAATGACCAAGTCTTTTTTTCATGCTGTAAGTTTTGTCTGAACATACTTATATGTTAAACAAGATACAGATTATCTTTTTGTAAAGAAGGAAGAAAGTATATAATTTTTTTCATGCATGTGGTCACAAATAACATGTTGATAAGATCAGGTAAAACATATCAGTTGAAATATATGTGCTAGTAAAAAAAATATACATTTGTTTTGTGATTTTCATCAGTAATGGAGATTTGACATCACCCTGAAAAAGGAAAAAAAAATGTCGAAAAGTGAACGGATAATGTGTAAAGACATCTCTTGATATGGTATCTTGCTATCATGCAATCTTGGATATTAAGTTCCTGATGATAGGTCTGAATCAATTTTCTATTAGTTGTTGTGTCTAGCGATTAATGATTTACAGATCCAAGTGAATTATTGACGACTCGG